ATTTTTTTATGCCTTTTTCCCCCCCCCCCCCCCGTTTTTGTTTGTTTTGTTGTTTTGTTTTGGTCTTTTAAATTCAGCTTTTCCCAGGACCTTTCCAGCAAAGGTCAGACTCGAGGGGGGAGGTTGAGTTTCTTTTTAAGAGGCTGCATTTATGTTTAAATAAACCATAACATTGACTCCATGGTGTGAACCTGAACAGCACTGGCTGGTGGGGTCCCTGCCCCCCAACTTGGGGGGCACCCCTGATGTTCAGCTCAAGTGTTGCCACTTGTTCCCCTACTCCTGGGGAAGGATCTTTCCCCTCTTACCTCAATTCCTGCTTCTCTTTTCCTCAAAAAGCCCAGAAAAAGAAAGGTTGGGCATCCCAGCTGGAGTGTTCTCTGGTGCTTTGGCCCACAGAAGCTGTTGTCTCTGCTTCTGGTGTCACAGGGCAAGGCCTGGGGCCTCAGCTGTAGTTGGCTCCTGGAGAATATGATCCTGCTCCAGCCCCTTCCAAGGCTCCCTGCTTGGGATCCCACTGCCCACCTGCTCTCCTGGCTCCTCGTGTCCTCTTCTGCAGGTTGGGCCAATGGGCCTTTTCTCCAGCTCCCTCTTCTGGCCTGAACTTGGTGGCTCTCAGCATCCTCCTGGAGAAGCTGAATGTTTGCACTTCATCTTGGCCTTCAGGACTCCAGTCCTGCTGGGACCTTGGTAGTGGAGCAGCTTGGTCATAAATGTGCTGGTGCTTCTCTTACCTACTCCAAAGAGCATCTCATCATAGAATCATGAAGTGATTTGGGTTGGAAGGGACCTTTCAAGGTCGTCTAGATCCAACCCCCCTGCATGGGCAGGGACACCTCCCACCAGCCCAGGCTGCTCCAAGCCCCATCCAACCTGCCCTTCAACACTGCCAGGGATGGGGCAGCCACAGCTTCCCTGGGCAACCTGGGCCAGGCTCTCCCCACCCTCACAGCCCAGAATTGCTCCCTCACATCTCAGCTCCAGCTCCCTCTTCCACTTGAAAGCTGTTCCCCCTTCTCCCACCTGCCACCTCAGACCATGGCTGTGGCACAGCCCTGCTGCCTCCACCACTCACCCCCAGCAGGGCAGCTCAGGGTGATGTGGGACCTCTTTGGGGCATCCTTGGAGCCACCAGCAGCTACTGCTGGGCTTGTCCTGATGCAGAGCATGGCACTGAGGAAGGGACCTGCAGCACAGGCCCCACCACCCTCTCCCAGACACAAAGGCTGGGTCTTGCTCCACGAGAAGTCCCAAGTATCCCTCACCCCAGGGTAGATGTTCTGCTGTTTAGCCTCAGATGAGGAGCAGAACAACATGCTTGGTGCCACCATCTTTTCTGCTCTTCTATCCCACACCTCTTCCACCTTGTGCTGCCTGTGGGGTCAAGCCCAGCTGCTGCCACCAGCCAACTCCTCCTCCCCACCCAGGGGGATGGTCCACACCGAGGCTGTGAAAATAACCCTTGATAAAGCAGCATCATTAATTGCAGCATCATTAATTGCAGCACCATTAACTGCTAACAAGCTTCCCTTGGGAAGGAGGGAAGCCCAGGCTGCTGCCCACCTTGCTGGGCTGTTTGAAGCCTTGTCCTGTCTCTCTCCCTTGACTTGGAGACCTTTCCAAGCCCAAGGTCCAGGTTGTGGCCAGGGAGCAGCTCTGCCCTCCCTGGGGTTTGTGCCACGGGATGTCCCCAGGGAGGGGACACAGGAGTCATGTCACCTGCATGATGCACCTGCCAGTGTTTTGCTTTTGGGTTCTTCTGGGTTACTGTTTGCTGTTTGTTTTTTTTAAAGCTCTGATGATAAATCAGACCAAGGCACCTGCTGTGTCCTCTCACCTCACCTGCTGGCATCTCCCTTGGTAGAGGCAGAGGAGCTGGTCCTCAATGTGTCACACCCTGCAAACAGCACCAGCAGCATCCCTGACCCTTCTGAGGAGCCTTCTGGAGATCTCTGAGCAAGGATGACCCAGGACCATGCTGGAAACAAGGGCTGGAGCCTGGGGAAGATCATGGAGAGAGGTAGAACTCCCCCCTGGCTCTGTCCTCAGGTGTGGTGGGTCCCCTGCCACCTGCTCTGGTGCTGTGACAGGACATGGAAGGATGTCCTGCTCCACTCCTTGGGATGGTGGCTCCAGCTGAGCCAGCTCTGCTGCCCAGCACCCCACTGAGCACCAAGAAGTCTTGGTGGGCACCAAGAGCAGCCACCACCCCAAGACCAGCACTGAGCAGGGTGCTGGAGACAGAGGGGCCCAGCAAGGTGACCAGAAGCTCATTTAGAAGAAAGGAGCTTTTTTTCCAATTTGTACAAAACTGCTTTAATGACAAAACAGCTGAAAAATACCTTTTTTTTGGTGCATTTCTGGTACCATCAATAAGCCCTGTGTGATCCCCAGACCCCAGTCCCTTCCAGGCCCAGGATCACCTACTGCCTGGAAGGGCACGAGGCTCTTCTCAGGTACCTTCTCCCAGTGCAGCACGTCCCCAGGGAGGAGTCTGTCCTCAAGTCCACCTGGAAACCTCCTCCAAGACCCTCCACTAAGGACAGTTTTCCTCCCAGCCACACATGTGGGCTGGAAAAGACCTCTCTGAAGTGCTCCAACCTGGGGGCTCCTCCTTGGTTCAGGAGCTTTCCTGTGGCCACCACCTTTCCCATCACTAGCGGCCCTGTCGGATCCCACCAGGGCAGCCAGGCAGGAGCTTCAGCAAATGATGCTTCCAGACAAGAGCCAACCTGGCCAAGTCCCTGAGCCACTGGATGAGGGCCCCGATGAGCACCAGACCCAACAGGAGGGTTGGAGGAAGCAGAATCCAAACCACCTCAGCAACCACTGGGCGATGGGGCAAAGAAGTAGACAGCCAGGAGGATGAAGTAGACCATCACCAGCACCGTGCCTAGGGCAGACAGAGCAAGTTGGAGGATGTGAACTTGGATGGAGGTTGCTTCAAGGACCTTCTGGTGTAGCCCACCATAGAGGACTTCCCCAAAGTCCTCTGCAAAACCTCAGTCAAAAGGGGTTTAAACTCCTTAAGGGAGAAAAGGGAGCGACCACCCCTTGGAGCTGCTGCTGGGTGGCACCTCCAAGGTCATGGAATGGTTTAAGTTGGAAGAGACCTAGAAGATGACCTAGTTCCAACCCCCCTGCAAGGGCAGGGACACCTCCCACCAGACCAGGTGGCACAAAGCCCCATCCAACCTGCCCTTCACCACTGCCAGGGATGGGGCAAAAGATGGTCAACTAAGACCCCAGAGATTGCTCCAGCACCACATGCCAAGGGCTGCAACAAGCAGATGACCCCAGGGCTGTCCCCAGGAGCCCCCCTACCCCATCAGCACAGGGAAGGTGGGGACACCACGTCCCACAGCAGCCTCGTGGGCAAGTGGTCACCTTGGAAGTAGTCACATTTGCCATCCATGAAGATGTAGTTCATGAGGACCACGCTGAACATGCTGGCATAGACATGAAGGTCACTGAAGATGAGCGTGAAGTTGGTCGGCTGCGAAGCAGAGAAGAGTTTGGATTTATGGCCAACCAGGACTCGCATGTCACCTGCTGCACCCCCTCTGTCACACATCTCTAGGGCTGAGGAAGGCATCAGCCATGGCAGGAGACATCTTGCCACACTTCTCCCAGCACTGAGCAGAGGAGACACTGGGGATGGTGGCTGTGCCCTCGTCCATGTGTCCCCAGCCCTGCTGGGAGGTCACCCAGGGGCTGTCCTGGGGCTACTCACATAGAAGATGGTGAAGAGCACCAGGATGGGAATCTGGAGCATGCAGACCTGGACAGCAATGCAGTTCCCAATCTCGATGCTGGGGAGGACAGAGAGGTCAAGAGCCACCAAGAACCAGGTCTCCAGAAGCTCTTGGGTCACTCAGCTCAGTGTGAGGAAAAAAAACAAACAAAACAACAAACCCACCACGAGGAACCAAATCATGGAGCCCAGACTGGTGCTGACCCCATTGTTTTGGGTGGCTTTAAGTCCTTTGGAGGGCAAGTTGGCAGGGATCTGCCCCACCAGTGGCATGAAGCTGGGTGGCCCATCCCTGGCACCAAGGCACAGCACTAGGACTGGGACAGGGCACGGGGACCACGCTGGAAGACACCCCAGAAGCCACCTCACCTCAAGCTCAGGTTGTTCTGCAGGGCAAACTGGATGCCATTGACAATCTCTGGCAGCTCAGGCACCATGGCCAGCACGGTGACACCAATGAAGTACTGTGGGGAGGAGGTGACATCAACACCTGCACGGGGCCCAATCCTGACCACACCCATAGTGGTCACATCCTTGAGCACCCAAGTTCCTCAGTGCACAGAGGATCTCAGCATCTTTCCTCCCCCCCTCAGCTTTTGGGGCTCCAACCCCCAACAAGCCAGGTCAGGTGCCCATCCCTTGAGGAGACATCTGTCCCCCAAGTGCCACCCAAACCTGGCTGACCACCCTCCCCATGCTCACTCACCTGTGAGATGGTGGAGTTGGTGAGGATGGGGCTGATGTGCTCCGTGGCCAGGTCAGCACAGGCTGACATGCAGAGGGTGGAGAGCAAGAGGATGACCAGGGCCCGCCAGCGGGACCAGTGGACCACAGCACTGTGGTGGTGACCAGGCACTGGGGAAAGACCAGAGATGTGGTGGGACATCCTAGGGTGGTGAGAAAAACCCAGGACATCCCACAGCTTGGGAGGGGACACACTCAACTGTGACAGTCGCTGATGTGGATGTCGTAGATGTGTGAGTGAGTCTTCAGGGTGAAGAAGAGGCCGATGAGGTAGGCAGCAGGAAGCAGGAGGGACACGGTGTAGACCAGGGGTCTGTGGGACATGGGTGACATGGTCAATGCCACCAGGGTCTGTCGTGGAGACCCCCAGGGGATGTGCCTTGGGGATGGAGGAGATGGGGTGCTGGGTTGGAGTCCTTGGTTGCAGTGAGAGGGGACTCAGGGGGGATGGTGGACCATGACCAAACCAAGGAGGTGTCACCCCAACGTGGGGACAACCCTGTGGACACTCACTGGACGTGGCTGTAGTAGAGGGTGCCATTGTTGTCCATCTGCAGGGAGAGAGAGCCTGTCAATGGGGATGCAGGGGACAAGGGACAGTCCCACTGCCACCACCAAGAGCAGGTGGGCTCGGAGCATCCCAGACCCCAGCAGCAGAGGGTCCATGTCCTCACCAGGTCAAAGTGACAGTTGTGACACAAGTAGTGGCCCAGCGGGTTCTGGGTGACGTTGTGGCACTCGCCGCACACCAGCTTCCCGTACACCTTGGAGAAGAGCGTTGGGGCAAAGACACCTGCAGGGGTGGAGTCACACCAGGTGGGCACCCACGCTGGTGGGACCACTCCCAATCCCCCAAAACAACCTGGGGACAGGTGTGTCCCCCACACCCACCTCCCACAGAGAGGAAGAGCAGGGCTGAGCTGACCCCCGCCGAGCGGCTGTTGAACCGTTGCTCCTGGTGCCGGATGCCCCCGATCACCATGCAGAGACCCTTGGGGATGGAGAAAAACCCAAACCCATCAGGTCTTCGCTCAGCAGCCTCTTCCCCAGCTCCCAGGGTGCCCTCTGGTGCCACCTCCTCTCACCGGGACGAAGAGGACACAGCCCACCAGGGTCCCCGTCAGCGCCGACTTGACGACCTCGGCGTAGCAGCGGTTGCCCTCGCGGGAGCCCTTGATGAGGGCCGTGATGTAGAAGGTCAGCTCAGTGATGGAGCCAAACGTGGCGTTCACCACCGCTCCCACGGCGAAGTTGCTCTGGGCAGAGATGCTGGAGGGAGAGGAGGAGGAAGGAGTTCACCAGGGCTGGCAGCTGCGTCCCCACCTCACCACCCGGCGTCCCCCTCCGTGGCCGCTGACCTGGCGATGGCCATCCCGATGTAGTAGGAGAGGGGCATGATGGAGAGCAAGGCCAAGGTGAACTTGACGGAGGAGCTGGTCAGGTGGTTCTGGCTGTCCACGTAGCCCAGCACCAGCGTCACCAGCACCAGTGGCAGCAGGTCTGGGGTTGGGGGGGGGTGGCTGGTCAAGGAGATGACCGAGGTGGGGTGGGATTTGGGTGGGATTTGGGGTCACACACACACACCCCCTCCCCACTCCAGCCCACCAGAGGATACTGACGGCGAAGACGTTGATGCCATCCACAGCGTATTTGTAGTAGTAGGGGTTGGCGGCGCGGTAGCAGCAGAGGATCACCTCCCCCTCCAGTGGCACCTCTGTCTGCAAGGGGACACGTGGGGGACGCTGCTCCCAGCATCTCCCCCCCCTCACCCACCTCAAAAATCCACCCCGGGGCAGGAGGCACCCACCATCTTGAGGGGCTTGACCAGCACCTTCCGCGGGGGCAGCAGCAGGACGCGGGCGGCGGCGCGGGCGCTCAGCTTGGCCACGGGGATGAGGACAACCAGGAGCCAGGAGGTGACACACACCAGCCCGTGGGCCAGCAGGAGGGCTGGGTAACCCAGGCACAGCCACACCAGGGCACTGGCACCTTGCTGCCAATGGGAAGTCACCTTGAGGGTTTGCCCATCCCCCAAAAAAAAAAACCCCACTCCCCCAGGGGAGGGGAAGCACCCGTGGGTGCTGTTTCCACTGTTGATGGAGGGTTCCTGGGGTGTCCATGATGGGGGAAAGGGGGTGTCACGGTGTCCAACACAGGGCTCACCCAGTATCCAGAGGTCTCCCAGCACCGTGGGCGCCAGCGCCGGGGCACGGGGCCACCAAGAAGGGCTGAGCTCTCCTCTGGGCCAGTTTCACAGGTGCTCAATGTCTGGTGGGATCTAGGGACCTGGAGGTCATGGTGGGGGTGTCAGGGTGTGGAATGGGACACCCCAGTTTGTCCCCCCGTGGGGTCCTGGTGCTAGGTTTGCTGTTACCTCCACTTTCTGGATCACTTTGCCAAAGGGCCAGAGGAAATACCCAGCCAGGTCCCAGCAGAGCCGCCCTGTTGGGGACACGAGCATCAGCTCTGCTGGGGACACGTGTCCCCCTCCAACTACAAGGCCGCCCCTCCAGGACCCAAGAGACCCTTCTCACGGGGAGGGAGGGGGGGGTCCCACATTTGTGACTCACCATAAGGAGCCCCCACGATGGTGACAAACATCACAGCGGCCACGAGGACGTAGAGGAGCGAGAGCCACCAACCGAAGAGCAGCAGGTAGGAGACGTTCCCGCACGTCACCGTGGACCCTGAGGGAGGGGAGGGGGGACACACCAGATCAGAACCATCGTCACCTGCACCAAACCCACGCGGGGTTGTCCCTAAGGCCACCCACCTCCAGACCCCCGGATGACGTTGAGGTCAGAGTAGAGCTCCTTGACAATCTCCGACCGGTCCTCCCAGGGCCGCGCCGTCACGTGGCTCTTCCACTTCTTGAAGCCAAACTGCACAAACGTTGAGGTTGTTGGTTCGGAGGGGGGTTTGTTTTATTTTTTTGAGGACGAAGAGAAAAAAAAACAACCCATCACCCTCCCCAGGGAGTGTCCCCCCACCTTGTAGTTGTTGGAGAGCTTGTTGGCCTCCACGGCGTTCTCGGCCGTCAGGGTGGTTTTCACCACGCAGCTCTCGCAGACCTCGTCCGAGTGCTGCTGGCAGCAGGACGGGGTGGATATCACTGTAGGGGAGACATGGAGGGGGTGACAGGGACACCCCAAGCCCCTCCTACACCCCAAGCCCCTCCTACACCCCCCCTGCAACCCCTCGGCCAACCTACCTGGAGGGACACGGGGGCGTTGGAGGTGGAAGCCCAGGTCCCCCAGGTCGCCCTGCACGTTGTTGATGGTGGCGCAGTGCCCGTCACACAGGGAATCCTGGCGGGGGCCATCGGGGTCACCGGGGGCACCCTGGGGCTTGGTGGCCTTGGGGCCATCTGGGGGGAGTTGGGGAGTCACACCGGGCTCGTGTCCTGCCCAGGGACACCCCAGTGCTGCTGTGGTGGGTATTTGGGGTCCCCAAATCCCACAGGAGACACACAAAGCCCCAGGGGATGTTCTGGAGGGAGAGGGACACCCCCCTGGGCCCAGGGTAGGGGGTGAGAGGGTGACCTCAGTACCCAGTGTGATGCTGGGGGAGGGAGGGAACCCCCCCAGTACCCGGGATAGGGGCATCCCCCCCCGGGGAGATGCTGGGAGGTAGAGAACCCCTAGTGCCAGGGATAGGGAGGACAACACCCCAGTACCCAGCTCAGGACTGGGGGGACAGCCCAGAACTCAGGATGGGGAGACCCCCTGGTACCCACTGTGATGGTGGGGAGGGGAGGGAGAACCCTCTGGGGTGATGCTGGGAGGTGGGAAACACCCAGTGCTGGGGAGAGGGGGGACAACACCCCAATGCCCAGCTCAGGAAGGGGGGGAACACCCCAGAACCCATGCTGGGGGGACCTTCCATTACCCAGCGTGATGCTGGGAGGGGGGGAAAGATCCCCAGTACCCAGAACGGG